CTGTAAGAGTATTTAATTTAGTTATGTTAGTTATGATAGATTAGTTGTGATGTAAATACAATAAAATTAAATCAAGATTTAGATTAAAATAATTATCATTTTGATCCATTCATTAGTAATGTCTGACTGGGCCTCGTGTCACTTTATGTTCAACAAATTGGGCCCTGAGGTCAAAAAGGTTAAGAACCCCTGCTTTACAGCTCAAATCACCTTCAATATTAAGACCTATTTTAAAAAAAAGCTGTGTTTCAGCTATTCCCAGCACCTAGGACTGATTCCTGACAGAAGTCACAATGTTGACTTTTCTTTTCCTGAGTTGTTGTGAAATATAATTGTAGATAATGAGCCAAAATCTATTTGAAAGCTGATCACGCTCACCTAAAGACCACTCCTCGCATCATAGATGACTGTACCTTCCTGTTAAACCAAAAAGATTAGCTTCCTGAAAAATGCATCATCTCCACCAGATGTGTGTGTTTCAGTAAAACACAGAGAGAACACCTGGATCATAGTAACTGTTCACTACAGCTTACGATCATATACTGTATAATCACACACTAGTGTGGAATTTTCCACATCAGCTCCCTGGAAAAAAATAAAATAAAAAGTTGCAAATTCTTTTCACTCAATGCAACAATCTGAAGTGACCTTAATGTTGACAACAAGGACACCAGCGATGAATTACTTGTCAATTTGACTGCATAACAGAATCATGGCGTTAGAAGATGAATTACCCTGCAAACCAGGCAAGACAAGTGGTGTGTGTGTTCATTTAAACCCGATTTATGTATTTAACGGCTTACGACGGCGCGTACGTGACAGAGTGCCGCCAGGCGCCTAATTCAGATGTATTACAGCCAACGCAGAGCGCCACTGACTGACAGGCAAAACATAAGACTTTGGAAACAATTATTGGTGACCAGAACTCGTATTCCATCGCTTCGTTTAATCACAACTTTTTGTTGTTGTTGTTTTTGTTTAAGAGCAAATTAATTCTCCCCATCAGCATGTATAAGTGTCCAGCGGCCCTTTTTCTTCTGATAAGTGCCCTCTGTCTCGTCATTGTCGTGAAAAACGTTGCCACCTTTGCTGATTTAATCAGGGCCTGTCAGCGCCGTGTTCATCTTTAAGTGCTGCACGGCTTCTGCACAAAAGGAAGGCTACTCTTAATCAATACGTCAACAGTGATGACAGGCTTATTGAAACGCGTCCCCCCAATGTTTGACTGAGCAAGAYTTTGTTTTTTTTTAAACAACCTTTCTTTTGTTGGTCAGGAGTCTTTGAAAGTTCCTGAATGGTCAGTGTGACTTTTGGTCATTGGATTTTCATTTTCAAAACGGGTATTAAAAAACAAGAAACGAGTGGATATTTGATTTTTGTTTTAAAATACTGGAATTAAAATTAAAATACAAAGTCATTCTCATTCTTAGTGTCAAAAAGGGATAAACATTTTTTTAAAAATGATTTGAGTTTCATTTTCTGTTTCAGATAGCAAAAAAAGAAATTAATTTAAGACAGAAATGAAAAAAAGGCTCGTTTATTTGTATTCTACCACTATCTGTTCCCCCACCAGAGGGGGCGCTCGCCTGGCAGCTCTGCAAAATGAAACACTAATTTGTGTAAATAAAAGGCTGAAACACAGAAATATGTCCATAAATGAGTTGTATGATGACTGTCACTCGGTGACCAAAGGCTGCAGAGATACTTCATGTGGCTTTTGGCCAAGTATGTCTCTTTTACTGAAAACATGTCGGCTACTGCCTCCACTTCTGTCAATAAAAAGCAAAATATGACAACTTTCATTCTATTAGTGTGTCGTACGATTGTTGTTCTGTGAGCAGAAAGTTTTTTTCCCTCCTGAGTTTTGACAAAATCTGTGCTTTTTTCTGTCAGTCTGTGCCCTTGGAGTTTTCCTTTCAGGGAAGGGTGGGCGGTCCTACAACTTTGATATTTATCTGATACCAAATAAATACTTGGTAAATATATACTCTTCTTTATATTTCAGACCCCTTGTCTAGTATTCCTGAGTTACTTCTTTTACTTCAAAAGTTTGGAAACATATCTGGTTATAAGGTTAACCTTCAAAAAAGTGAATTGATGCCTGTGACCCCAATAGAAGAGCAGCATATGGGTCCAGTTCCTTTCAAAATTAGCTCTGCCAAATTTAAATACCTTGGTATTTGGATTACTCACAGTCACAAAGATCTTAATACAGCAAACTTTCTGCCTCTCCTGGTGAACCTTAAGAAGGACATTGCTACATGGGCATCCCTGCCTCTATCCTTTATTTGGAATAAAAAGCATCCACGGATAGGCAGTAAGATGTTACAGCC